CAAAATGGGTTTTCCTTTTTTTATTTTTTTTTTTTTTTTTTTTGCAAAGCAGTCCCAAAATCCTGTACTATGATGTCATTCAAAATCTCTGTATGTGATCTTACAGGGACTCTTTCACTGAAGAAAACTTTAATTTAGGGCAAAGGAGAATGTCCTGTGATATTGAACACGCCCATGATGCCTTAAATATTTTCCAGGTGGAAAGGGAATGAGTTGCTTGCTTAGTAGAGGAGGGAGTGGTTCAGCTTTTACTAATTTTTATGTAATACTGCAAAATAACTGTTTGAGAACTGAATTGTTTTTGTCTAAGTAAAGTTTCTGGGCTGAACCTAATGATTTATGGATGAAATACCTCCTTATACAGATCAAGCTAGATATATTGACTGAATGTTCCTTTTTAGGGTTTAAACTTAGTGACATCTACGAAACTAACATATTCTGTGTCTTTGGCTTCTAGATAATAGATGATTGAAGAGAGACCTCCACTTCAAGTTCTTCTCATCTCTACATTGCATTATAAATTTAATAGAAAGATATAGATGGATTAAGATAGATATAGTTGGATATAGATAGATAGATATAGATAGGTTTAAGTGCCAGGCAAGACAACAGTAGACCCAAAGTATTATCCAGTCTGCAGAAGTGAGCTGAAAACAGAATTAGTGGATGCTCGGATAACCTGATGGCTCTAAATTAACTCCGACTTCAAACCAGAGTTATCATTCAATCAAAGCGGGAGGAAAGAAAAGGGGGCACTGCATGACTTGACTATGGAATACCATTTCCAAATAGCTAAAGCGTGACTGGAAGCCTAATGAATTTCAACCACAGAGATTCAGAGAGCATCACTGGTAAGTTGGAAAGGTAGTACTCACTAGAACTTAACCTACATAGAGTCCTTTGCAGAGCAGCTAGTTTGAAGACTGTTCTTAACTTGAGGTTGTTCATTTGCAATACTGGCTCTGTGCTGCAAACAAGTGTTGCATCCTCTACATAGAGGAGTTGTCTCCTGTATTCTAGTTGAAACCAGCTTGTCCTCAAAGCCTTCAATGCGGGAAAGGAAGCACGGTACAGGGGAGAAAACAATTTTCTCCAATGAATAAGTTCTGAATTTTTAAAGTTATATGAAATCCCTTGGCTTAAGTACAGTGGTTTTAATTTTGATTTCTTTATTTATCTGGAATTAGTTGGTTTATAAAGTATAGTAAAATCTAGTTAACATGTCCCTCCATTGGAATTTATGATGGTGATTAATTATCCATGAAGTAACTAATTATCAGCAGGTATCTCTTCTCAACCCTTTGAGATTTTTTTTCATGCCATTTTTTCAAGCAATATTAAGATAAAAGAGGGCATTTTACCCTTATGATGACAAAAAAGATTACCAAAATTCCAAATACAGGTATGATGCACTCTTGTTTATCTGATAACTGTGTGATCATACGTATAAATGTTTTACATACAGTTTCTTACTGCAAAAATTGAGTGCTTGCTACAGAAGAATTACATGATTATGAGTGAGTAATCAACAATATTTGCTTTGCACTCTTACATGCACTCATTGTGAAAATAGAAGATAATCCTGCAAAATGGAACAGATGATTGTCTGTATTGTTGAGTCAGGAAAAGCTGACAAGTATCCATTATTCTAGGCACATCAACTGTTTTGATAGGTGCCACAAAGAGCAGAGATTGGTACCTTTTAAGCCAGTGAATAATCAAAATCAAATGTAGTTGTTGTTTAGTATGTGTCTACATTTGGAAATGATTAAATACACTTTAAGAGATGACAAATTAGCTAAAATGTCTTGTGTATAAATCAACAAGACTAGCAGGAATTGACAGCAGTAACAACACCTACTAGTAAGAACATTTTGATGAGTAATCCCAATGACTAATTAACTACATTTTATTGTGCTAAAATATATTCATTTTTATTTTGGAAAATTAATCGCATTTGGGGAAAGTAACTTTATAGAAACTTTTATATAAATGTATCTTAAGAATTCGAACTCCAAGCATGGTGCTTTTAATATGAAGGTCACACAATATGCAAGTCATTAAAAAGAAATAGGAAGGTAAGAAATGTGGTTAAGTTGAAAGGTGCTACAGGATAAAACTGTTCATCTTGATTTTCCTTACAAGAGGACTGCTCCTTTCTGACTTTATTGTGTTTGTAAAACCTGTAACAGATAAAAATTTAGGATAGAAATTAGGAGGCCTGTGATGTACTCAAGGATGTTAAGACAGAGTCCTTAAGAATGTTGGATTTAGGACATAGCCTATGGGAGAATCAGTATTCAGCTAGACTTGTAGGATTAAAGAGAATAAGGAGGTTGCAAATAATCTGCCTTGCAGTCTGCAGTCCTTTAAAAGAGCTATGCCTGCAGGTAGCTTTGTGCACCCCTTGCTCTCCAATGAAAACAAGAAGTCTACTTGATAAATTTCCCCTCATATAACCCATGCTGCTGCTGAATTAGTTTTTTGACAGCCTACCCCCTGGTTGCATATGAAAATACAGTATAAAAAGTTGCTAGTGCAAATTGAAATTATCCTTGTGCAATTTCTCCACCATAGAATCATTTTCCACAAACCTGCTGTGGGTTTTTATTTGCTTACCTTTTAGATGCCTGCTCCAGTGAGGATGTTCGTGAAATAGAGTTGGTGAGCATGCTAGAAGAACAGTTACCAGAGTATAAGCTACGAGTGGACTCTCTGTATCTGTATGAGAACCAAGATTGGTTCCAGTCCCCAGCCTGTCCTACCCATGTGCCTGAGACCATCTCTCCAGTCCATGCTGAGGAGACCTTTCGTTACATGTGTGAGTATTTCTGGTCATGCAGTGAAGAGGTTTTTGCCCAAGTTGAAATGAAGAACTTATATGTATAAGGTGATTGAAAGATTTTAGAAAGCTGCAAAACATTGCCAATACAAGCAAAACTAAAGTTGTGTTTAATGGAAGTATTCCTCATTCACATTTACAGTCGTGGAATCTGTATGTTTAGTTAAAGGCCCTTCAGTTATGCTCTAGGAGCTGTGGAGTCGTGTCCTGTATTCTAGTTGAAGCCATTTAGGCTTCAACTATAAGGAAACAATGGTTCCATAGGTGTGCAAATAACAAAATTAAAGTATAGCAGCGCAGTGTCCTTACACAGTTTGATTCTATTTGCTTTAAAATAATGGCTGTCTTTCCAAAAATAGGAAGAGATGAGGAAGGCAACATATAACTGGCCTTTTATCTTTAAAAAATTATTTAAATAAAAATCAAAGTGCTTTTATAAAGCAGTTGGCTCAAACAATATAAGGAGATGCTATCAAGATGACAGTCGTAGTGGTTTACGGAAACTTTTTTTAAAAATTTTATAGATAAACTCAGCTTATGGAAACAATTTAACCAATAATGCTAATTGGGGGTTTGGGGTTATTTGCTTTTTTTTTTTTTGGGTGTGGGATTGATTTATTTCTTGGGTGGGGGGGTGTCCATCATTTGTTCATTGTAGACCAGTGGTGGTCAATCTTTTTGCCCCACGGGCCAGATGGGTGGTGCCAGATCTGTCTGCAGGCTGGATCTGGATGGTGGGTCCAATCTGGCTTCCAGGGCAGGTCCTGATCCAGCCATGCAAGGGGAAATGGGTGTGGCTCAGCTCCAATCCAGCCAATCAAGGGGAATGGCCTGGCCCTGATCTGGCTGAGGGGGTCTTGGGAATTTGATAGACAGGGAGGGGTGGCAGTATTGATTGCCACTGCTCCACTGCCATCAAATTTCTCAGCCTGTGAGGAGCCTTGCAGGCCAGATGCCATGGCTCTGCCAGCCACATTTGGCCCACGGGCTGGGGTTTGAGCACCCTTGGCTTAAACCATGAAAACTGATTAATTCATTTGACCTCAGCCTCTGGCCACTATCACTTTGGCTCTAATGCTCAGAGTTTGGGGTTGCAAATACTATAAAGAAACATTTAAGATCAAAATACTGCTTATTTGCATTGGAATTCTAAACAAAAATTCATTAAATTGTGTTCATTTTGTTTTAGACAATCTTGTTCTTTATAAAAACTTATTTTTTTTCTGCCTAAACCATCCTAATATGATGTTCTTCTCAAACAAAATTATGATATTATGAACACTAGGTATGCTGTTGTCTTAGTTTCACCCTGGAAGTAGCAATATTAAGTAGCAGAGTTACCACGGGTGTGGAGTCTTCCACATCTGGAGCAGATATTAAGGCTTCCAAAGTCAGAGGTGTTGCTCCTTGGCACTTTATAGGGGGAAAGGGTTTGCCTTACTGTCTCTTCACCAACATTTCCTTGGCTGTTGTATTGTGAGGGCTTCATTGTTAGTCTGCAGCCCCAAGATCTCTTTTCATTGATGTTTTGTTCACTGGTTTAGTGACTTGATGCTGCAAGATGTTGAGCACGATCTGTTCTTTTTTCATTCACATTCAGAGGTTTGTAAAGATTTTTTGTGGTGAAAAGTTATGCTGGAGGTCAAATTTAGTAATGTCAGGGTGTTTTTAAGGTCCCCAAAAGCACTGGGTGTTGGCTGCAGCTAGGGCTGGGGACTTAATCTGGGGTGTACAGATTCTCTTGCTAGGAGCAAAGCCAGAGGTTCCTGGTTAGAGGGTCTTTTTCATCTGCTCAGAGTCAAACTGATTGTCATATCTGGGGTCAGGAAGGAATTTTACCCTATCCTTAGATTGGCATGGACAGTAGGGGGTTTTCCCTTCCTCCTTCAGTGGGGGGCATGGCCCCCTGCCTGGGACCTCCTGCATGTATATTGATAAGATTTTTATAAAGCAGGATTTTGGCTGCTATGGTTTACCTGTAGCAGATTGGGGGATTAGTTCTATGTTGTGTCAGGGTTGAGAAATAATCTGATAATAGAGTTTAGATTTTGGTTGTATGGATGGTTTGGATAGAGAAGATCCTGTCTCAGGCAGGGGTTTAGACTAGATGACTTCTGGAGGTCCCTTCCAGCACTACTTCTCTCCGAGTATGCCTGGATCAGCATTGATTATTACTGTCTGTTCCAGCACATGAAAATTCCAGGCAACTATGGGAGCAATCATTTGTTTATATTCCTGTCAGTTCTGGTAGTAAAACTGACTGCTTTTGAGAGATGATAGGCCAGTTAAAGAGCTTTCTGGAGAAGTTGCTATTGTAATCGATTGAAAAGGTTTGAATGTGCAGGTAGGAGAACGTTTAAAAATTTGAGTTAGGAGGAGAGTAAGAAATGCATTTCCAGCAAGAAAGTCGAATTACTTCTCACAAGTAACTAAAAGAAAATGGCATAACAGAGGCTGATTTTTGTGTATGGGTACAACATACTATTTCACAGTAAATATCTATCTTTTTGCCTTTTATGTGCCAGGACTAATGATATTTATTAGTAGCTTCTAGATCTCCACCTGAAGAGCACACTAACCAAGAGCAAAGTAAATATAAAGGAATGATTGTGACTTGGATGGTATTTGAGAGAGTGTCCCAGAATCAAAACAGAGCTATAATGTCTTGTGTTATACATTAATCTAGGGAACGTCCTTAGATTGTTGTTGTTCAGCTCCTCCTCCTCTTTCAGCAACTGCTGCTTGAAAGAAAGTTTGTAACAGAACGGAGCACGGAGTCGTGCTTCTTGGTGAGATGCAGAGATACTGTGCTGCAGCAGTAAATGGTAGGTCAGCGATCCTTGACTGCAAAACATCTTTACAACTACTCTGCACATGACAGACCAAGACAGAGCAGTAGATAACAATGACTTTAATCAAAATGAAGAGTTGCTTGCAGCTTTTACTCTACAAGGTGAGTGCAGGGCATGCATGCGCCTATAAAGTGTTATCGACTATGTGACAGTCTGGAAATAATGGGGCTGGCGCAAAACAGAAATGTTGTCTTCCCCATAACTTTTGTTTTATCAGGCTACTAATATTTGGGAGTAGGGTAGAAATCCCAAGTCCACCTGAATGTACATCCATGTAGTGAACATTGAGACTGAATGGCATTGGACTGCACAAGGAAATACTTGCTATCCATCATAGACTTGTTACACTGTCTTAGTAACTTAAGTCAACTGTGTGGAGAGCTGGGTTTATGTATAGCATATTAAAATGATTGATTCATTTTTGTAAGATCCTTTGCTAGAACATTTGTAGTACTGTGAAATTCCTTTTTTTTAATATAAGTATTGTATGCATGCATCCACTAAAGTAATTAAATAATGGAGATACATTGTTGGCAGTCTTATATTCTAATTCTTTTTCTCCCTTGTGCACTTTCTCCTGTCTTCCATTTCTTCTTGTCCTAGCTCTTCTTGAACTTCCCCCCTCCTCTTTAGCTGGACCTCACACATTTTCACAAGGTAATTTGATGGAAAAGAGACCTCCTATCTTTTTCTTGAAAAGACAGGAAATGGTAGGGGTTGGTACCTCATGGTTTTGTTTATTAAGCTTTAATCATAGTTATAATTAATTCCTATCTGGTCAGTTGGATTTCTTCCCAACTTAACCTTTGTTTTGTTTTTTTTTAATATTCTAACTGCATTTTCTCTTGGGTACTGTTAAGAACTATGAAAATAATAAATACTAAAAGCATGTTAAGGGTCAAATGCCTTTTGAGTTACCACCACAAGTAGTTTGTGCTAGGGCACTTTGAATTACAAATAGATATTTTTGTCTTGTTTCGTGTCAGCATAACGCGAATTCCTGCAAATGTACTTCGTCTTAACGCTTTATGGGTTTTCTTTCTTGTTTGCAACTGTCACAACTTCATTGTATTTCAGAGGCAATGTATGCAGATATTTCAGCTATGTTTGGGTATTCAAGTCTCCTGCTTTCTCCTCCCTCCTAGTCCAGATCTGCCATAATTTAGTTTCATCCAGAAATTTGATCTCTGGAGGAAACTCTTTCTTTAGTTAGGTTTGGTACCTTCAATACCAGATAACCTCAGTGAAAGTTGTGGGTGCTTGGCACCTCTCTAGATCAGACCCCAAGTAACTTCCTCTGGTGCTTCCTAAGATATTTGTAGCCTCTTGACCTAACTTTTATTCAGTATAAGAATATTTGAGAGGACTGGCAATGTCCCATCTGAGATTTAAAGCTAGTCCCCTTGTTTTCTGACAATTAATCTTTTAAGTATTTTTATTTCCCCTTTCAGTTCTGGGCACAGACAACGAAGAGCAGATAACAAAAACATACAGTGATGTTGACCTGCTCAAACATCTGTTAGCTGAGGTATAGTAATCCTCACTTATTTTTCTGTTTGTATTCTGGTGGTAGTCTACATGGATGCAGCTTCTCTTTCAAAAATTACAAAAAACTAATTCAGCTGTCTGCATGTGAGGGAGAAAAGTAAATGCCTAGTGTCTCTTAGATCTCACTTAAAATAGCATAACATTACCCAGACAATGGGGTTGTAAGAGGGTACTTAGCAGGCAGTACCAGCTGAGAAGAAAAAACATTTTAGCAGAATCTTTCACACCTTGTTGGGAGCTGATGAAAGGGCGGAAACAGAGGATTTGCCTCCATCTTTCTGCTACTACTGCTC